CAAATTCTATAACCAAAAATTTCAATCATCATGTTGAACTTATTAGCAGTGGGGACTCCTTAAAATAAAAATTCAACCTCCTCCATTTGAGACATCATCAACTTTGGAGAATAAACCTCCTCCATTCAGAGAACATCAACTTTGGAGAATAAACCATTTTGATTTTAAACTTTTAACTTTTCATGTTTCTTCTAAACTGAAGAATCAAACCAACTTAAATCATAATCCATGATTTAAATTTAAACTTTCTTTTCACTGCTAATTGCCAGCCATACTAGATAAACTAGTAAACTTTTTGACTTTCAGAATTTTAACACATTCTCAATATGAGAAACTTTGTGTTAAAGGCATTCATAAATTTTATGAATTTCATTATGCATATCTCATGCATAAAACTTTCTGCATCCCTTCATAAGAAATATAACAGAGCATTTCAAAGGCATTTATGGCTTTATCAGAAATATTAATAACATAATATTTCAAAAGTTTTTACAAGAATAAAAATCATCTGTGTGCTTAAATAATCAATAATTCCATGCATGACATTGAAATTATTTCCAACTTACAATCATTAAACATTGTAACCATGCATAGGAAAACAAGAAATTGACAACACCAAATTTGATAAAATTTGCAGCACCCCAAGATCCAACATATCATATATGTATCTTGTATACTATGCATGTAACTGAGACAAAGTCTCAATATAAAAATATTTATACACATGCATAAACATATCCTTGTATTTAACAGGCTTTGCAAATCTCAAAGGAATCTCATGCAAATCTTCTGGACATAATTCAGAACTTAGCCAAATAAATAAATAAAACTTACAATATTCATGCCGAGGCCGAAACAAATAAAAAGTATGTTAACCGATCTCATCCTGTAACTTGTATCTGCCTTGATAATATAATCCATCTCTTCCGGCCTTTGATGCGCTAAAACCACTCACCCCACTGTGGAGAGAACATATCTTCTCATGCCAATTAAATCATGGATAACAAAATGATTTATTTAAATAAAATCATTTTACACATCTTACTAATCATCTTGGCATAATCTAATACCCCATGATTTTGTGTGGAGATGAAAGCAAACTGCATAACATGCATTAAAGCCACATGTATAATACATGCCACTACTCCATGCAAAAATCCGCATAGATATCTTCTTGTACATAAACAACGACAAACCCAAAAGTGATTTATGTCATCCTCTCATCAGCAAATTCAGAATCTCATTCCAAAAATATTCCGTGATGAGAATCATTCTTTCATGCCTGACATCTTGCCTTCAAAACTTTCAAGGCAAGACCAATGATCAAAGGTTTATAACTTTAAAGCTTATAGATTGTTGGAAAAGGTGCTTGTAATCTGTAATACATGTGAGAAACAACAAAATTGCAGTACACTGGGATATTTCACAGTCCTACAGTTCTATAGGAAATTCTCAAACAAAGCAACTTGAGAATTTCATTCATCTTCTTGTATCCCATAAGATTAAATCTCGAACCTTGTTGCTTTTATAGAGGGAGATTTAAAACTTATAGGAAAGTGATTACACGCTTGAAGATATCAAATGATCAAGTTTTTGTTCCCTGATGTTTGCTGTAATTTTGTTGTTTCTCACATGTATTACAGATTACAAGCACTTTTTCCAACAATGAGGGGGCTACTTGTGCGAAGTTGGGGTTCAACCTTTTTTACATCCTTCTCAAAGTGAGGGGGCTCATTAGCCTCTGTGGTTCATGTTCAGTTGAGTCCTCCCATATGCTCTGTCGGGCCGAGGTGTGGGGGCCCCTTGGGGTTCAACCTTTTGGAAAGAATATAAACCAAAGCAAAAGGAGGGAGAAAACTTCTAAAGAAATTTGTAAGTTAATTTTTACTATATTATTATAACAATATCTATTGTAACCATATATTTCAAATTATTTATTATCATCCTATATTGACAGCAATTGTGCCAAAACATAAGCGGTTTCGAACATCATATATGATGAATGTCTTAAACTAATGCTTTTTCCTTGTGTATTTTAGTGTTTTTGCTTGTTACTCATTATTTTATAGATTCATTTTGGTCACTTATGAATTTATTGCGTGTGTTAGGTGATTTGACGAAGAAATGATGTTTTGAAGCATTCTATGAAGTATTTGATCAAGTTTTTGGTGTCACCTTAACACGAAGACACATTTGATTAACCAAAGTGATGATGTTTAGAGTTTAACACGTTTTTGGAATGGATCATGGCGTGACCTGAGGTTGAGGAGAGCACCAAAGTGATCACCGACACAATGAAGGCGTACCCGGCTAGCCGCGACGTGCCCGCACCCGTAGTTACCAGGCAAAATTCACTGCCTGGTGGCTACAGGTGTGGCCACGGCTGTGGTTACCAGGCAGTGTATTCTGCCTGGTGGCCACAGGCGTGGCCATAGCCGTGGCCACGGGTGTGGCCACGGCTGTGGTCACCAGGCAGTGTATTCTGCCTGGTGACCACAGGTGTGGCCACGGCCGTGGCCACTGGGCAGATGTTTCTGCCTGGTGGCCACGGGCGTGGCCACGCCCATGGCCAGCTCCCTGTTTTTTTTTCTAGCAGCGCGATTTGGCTCTTTTTAAAGGGAATTTTTCCACTCTTTAAGACACTTTTCATTTCTCTTTCACTCCACAACTAGGGTTAACTTTAGAATAGCTTAGATAGGAGTAGATTGGTTGTTTCTTTCCATTTCCAAGCTCAAGAACATTGCAAATCTTGGATTTCAAGGCTTCAATAGAGAAGTGTTCTTTTTATCTCTTCTCTTTACTTTTCATCTATGCTTTCAATTACTCTTTCAACATTGTGCATCTTTTGTTATATTATGAGTAGCTAAGTGTTTTGGGACTAGGATTTGGTTTGATTTCTTGCTATTGATGCATATTTGAGTTGTATTGCATAAAGAGGATTATTTGGGTGTCCTAGGGTTAGTTGTGTGAATTGGGTTTGTTGTGAAATTGTGTATAATTGTTGGATCCCAATTATATGCTTGATTTGGAGTGTGTTTGTTGCTACGAGAGTAGAGCTTGTACACTATCCACACATTCACACACTTAATGCCTAATACGAGAGTATTTCGGGTATTAAGGAGACACTACAAGAATAAAGACATTTAGTGACAATTTTTTTGTGACACTTCATAATTTAGTCACAAATAATACCCTTTTTGTGACCAAAAAAATAATTTGACACTATTGTGTGGTGTAATTGTGATAACTTTTTTTTGGTCACAGATAATATGGTAACTGTGATGAGTAAGTATTTGTTACGAATAAATTGTCACTGTTACTATAATAATTGTGTCGTGACATGCGTTGTCACTATTTGTTGTCACTAAATGTATGTTTATTTTGGCGGCATTATAATTATGGCGGGAACGAATGTAATTGTGACAAAAAACAATGTTGACACAACTTTTTGTGACAAATAATTGTTGGTCACTCTTGTTGATAATATTCGTGACAACGTTTTTTGTCAATAAAAGTACAATTGATTTGTACCATTAGAAATTAGAAACAATTGTGAGAAGAAATATTGTTGTCACTAATATTGTCATTTTTTGTGTTAAATTATTACAAATATTTGTGACGCTCTATAGTTCCGTAACAAAAATTACTAAATTGTGACAATAATTGTGTTGATTTCTTTTTTTTTTTTTTTGTCACTAATTTATTATAATTGTGACGAGTAATTAATTATTAGAATGACTTCGTCACTATAATCACTAGAATTATTGCCTTGTGTTCTTGCTTGGGCAACCTTGGGTTGAATTGCCACGAGAGTGGAGTTTAAGGTGAGGTTGCAAGTCCAAATAGCTACGAGAGTGGTATTTGGACACTTTTGTGCATCTCACTTACCCTATGCCTCGATTTAATTCCCTAATCCTTAGTACAATTTTTGGCATCTTAGCTTGAATCAACCAAGTCCCGGTCCTTTGTTTTACTTGTCTTATTTGTTATTGGCTTAATCATATCAAACCAACTTCTTATCGATAGGTTTAGCTTCTAAAAGGGTAGTTTTAGCTTGTGCTTAACTCCATTTTACATCAATTCCTAACATTACAAGAGCCATCTCCAGTAGAACGATATCTAAACTCTATACTGTGATTTGATACTTGATGGATGTGTGAAAACCGTCCTCATCAATATATGACAATGGGTTTTGTTGTTTAATTAATGAATGTCATAAATTGATGATAAAGGACTTATGAGTTTGAGTTCCTTGACCAGACAGATGGGAAAATAGCCCTCGGCGCTTGAGAGGACGAGTGAGCCCTCGGCGACTGAGATGAATAAGTCCTAAAAGTAGTAGCAGTCTAAAGAGCAAGTCCTTGACAAAATCAAAAAAAAACAATTTCTCTCAACAACGAATGGAAATAAAAAAATCAATGACTTCATTGTTGTGGATGAAAAGTAAGTACCCCACTTTAATTTATTACTCTTATTAAATTAAATAAATTAGTAACTACAACAAAAAATAATACATATGCATTTAATTAATTTAGAATTAGATGTCTATAATGCCTTTATTCAAAAATAAAATCATTATAAAAAAATTTAGAAAGAGATATAATTTCAATTTATTTCATTAGTTATATTATCATTATTTTCTACAATTCAAAAATTCTTATCTTCAAATTAATTATATTTACTACATTGTCCATTGTCTTTTTTTTTTACACTATTTTATAATTAAATATCAAAGTTATAATACAAAATATGTTATATATTTATTTACCAAGTATTTTATACAAATATAATAAATATTAATATTTTGTTCAATACTTTCACATGATAATCTACGAGACACATCTCATAACACATGAAACATTTAGGGGAAAAAATTTCCACTGCTAAATATCAACAGGCACTTGCAAGATAGTTCATAGTACAACTAAGATCCCAGTTATATAAACAGCAAGGCAAATCTAAAACTTCATACACCATAATCTAATTGCAAGACTTTACCTTCTATGCTACCACCAGTAACTCAATTGCACATGACACACTACCAATAAAAAAGAAGATGACATGTATTGAATATGAAGACAATGGCAATGCTATCCAAAAGAGAATTAAGAACACTCAGAGAAATTTAAACCAAAAGTAGTATTTATTTAGACTATTGTTTTTAGACTAAGTATGTAGACTAGCGTTACTAAGTTGCAAACATTTATTTTAGTGACAATTATAATCTCTCATATATTATCTTGCATTTATATACTTTGAATTACTGATTTAAATAAATAAATTCAACATTCAATTACCTATACATGAACATCTCGTATATAATCTTGCATTGTTATATTTTGAAATACTTATTTAAAAAAAAATAAAATTATTGGGCATTATCCATTCGCGCAATGCGCGTGAAAAGCTAGTGGGTTACATATAAGGATAAATAAAAAATGTTGCGTGCATCATTATCACCTATTTTAAGAGTTAAGTTCACCATATATATGAAAGAAATATTTAACTGACTAAGGATAAATATTCTCAACATGAGAGTGACCAATTACCATTATTAGTACGATGTTGTTCTCCATATTGAATAATATAATATCATCTATTGCATTAATTTTAAAGTGCGATATTATTTCATCCTGCTATTATGTGAAGAAGGTTATATCAAGGTAGAGCTCTAACCTTCTAATTCCAACGAGTAGTTTGAGCATATCAGAGAACATGTCAGAACCCCTGAGGATTGCAGACAATCTAGCATGCTAGAATAACGTAATAAGAAATAACTAAATAAATTTCTCGTTTAGAGAGAAGGCTGTGATACCATATGACAATGTGAACTTTTGTGTTTATTCACTGTAAGCTAAAGAGCTTTAAATAGTAATACAAAGCCACAAAGGCAGGAGAGGTTACACCCGAAACAGAAGACTAGGAAAGCTAAACAAATCTAAGCCACATAAATAAAATAAGGAAATAAGAATAGGCTAAGTCTTCTTGATTGTTTGTTATCTGATTTAATGAATTGATTTCTTATTCTAAAAACGAATAGGCTAAGTCTTGCTGATTGTTTGCTATCTGATTTAATGAATTGATTTCTTATTCTCAAAAAGAATAGGCTAAGTCTTAACATACTCATGGTGTTCTGATTTCTCACAATAATCCCATAAGATCTATTATGAGTTGAATAAGTGTAAACACTAGTTAGTTATGATCCGTTAATTTAGCTTACATGGTTATTTCTCTATTCTATTTAAAGCTTTGTAATAAGCGGTAATGGAGACAGGAAATACACTTGTTCTTGAGCTCTTATTTATTTTCCTGGGAGTCTAGTTCTTGCTCAAAAAGGACTATCGATACATTTGCGGGGCTATCGTATCATAGGTCTAAGGTATTTTGATATAATTCTATCCTTGCATTGATAATTATCTTGGGACAATATACACTTTAATTTATTTGATAGCACTAAGTTCATATCAATTTCGTATCAGGTTCAAAAAAATTATAAATTAAACAGTTTGCATCCCCTAGTTGGAAAAGGCATCAATGACGTAATTGTTGCATTTGCAATGAAGGTGAAGAACGTCATGCTTTCAAGGATTAAGGCCATGACTTTGTTCGTTGCACTATTGGGGGCGCCAACCTCCTCGCAATAGTTATTGCGTGAGTCGTGGTCTACACAGTTGTTTGCGAGGACTGTTGCCTGGATCACAGTTTAAAAACGATGTCATTTTACTTAATTTTAATTTATTTTTTTGCGTGCCCAGCTACAACATATATTTTTATAACTTATAATGTACGCTATTCTAAAACATAATGTACATTATTTTAAAGCATAATTTACATTATTTTAAAACATAATATACATTATATTACCCCAGATGTTTCATTATACTAACACGTAATGCACATTATTTTAATACATAATGTACATTATTTTAACACGTAATTAATGTACATTATTCTAAAATATAATGTACATTAATTATACTCCTAATATTCACGACGATGTTTTGGACCGTAGTCCACGCATCTTTGTGTACCGTTTGCCACCTCCTCGACAATACCAGTATGTTTGTTGTATCAGCTACTCCGTATTTAATAACATTGTATTGTTCTTTGAATATTGGAGTTGAAAAGAAAGCTTATAATAGGCATTACTAAACTATATATATATATATTGTGGATTTCATGTAAATATAATTCAAACACTCGCTAACTTGGCATTCCTAATGTTTATCTTGATCAATATGATCTCTTTCCAAGTAGATCTACAAAACATATTCAACTTGCTGGTCAAATAGAAAACCTCCGATCCAAGCCACGTCATATAGATCCATCATGCTGCACAAGTAGATGTTTCTTCAATTCGTTTCGAGCGAATCCCCCAATATATACATATGGTTCAAATACATGTAGGAGACTCTGTAACCTATCTTTTCCTTCACCCACAACTCAAAAATTTATACTTTCTAGATTCTTTTAGCCATGGAAGTGTCTATTCGTATTTCGTGTTTGTTGCTCTGCTTGCTTTTCGGCCTAGGGGCTCTGGTGCTTAGTTTGGAGGACATGTCAGCATCGGCATTTTGTTCACGGGCCGACACTTGTGGATCTCATATCTTTGGAACTCACGAAGTGCCTTCAACACCACACCTCTATACCTTTGCATATTGCCTTCATTATTCTCACATTCGTCAGTCAGTTGACCAACCACCAGCTTAGAATCACATCGTATGTGAACCCTTTCCGCCCGTAACCCTGTAAGAAGCTTAAGTCTAGGTGGTCGAGACCATTCAAGGGAGAGGAAACATGTTTGATTAGGTGCAATTTGAATAATCATAATTATTGGTAGTAATTGGTGATTAGAGTAGATGAAAAGTAGAGCCTTTATGCTTACAATTGGTGGTTTCCTTAGCGTTTTGGAGGACCATAATTTGAGTTTGCCTTGCAACTCTATATTGAGAATTCATCGCGCTTTTATAAGAATGAGTCGAAAGAAACAATGATGCCTATGTTGCCTGAAGCTTGCTCCTCTACCAACGGCCGGCACCGCCAGAAATCCAGATCGCCTAATCATGAAGGGAGGTTCCTACATATTCCTTTTAGAACGTGTAGACTTTGAAAATTATTATCTTTTAAGGGGAGTGACATTTACATAAATCAATCTTGAAAAGAGTGATGCTAAAATAGTCCTCTATGAATTGGCCTTATTCTTATTGTGCATCTTGTGAGCATGTTTAGATCCACAAAGGCAATTGTGCTCGGATGTTCCCCTAACCCAACCCGAAAATAGACTAGAGAAACTGCAACATTCTCAATCCCTGTATTTGAATAAATCCTGAATTAAAGGTTCTTTAATGAAACAATTAGTGCAATACATGAATACACATATATCATGTACTCTTTCCTCAACTAGATTGTTTTATTTAATTTTGAGTAAATACCCAAATGGTCCCTCAACTATAGCTAAATTCACAAATTGGTCCTTAACTTTTAATTTTAACCAATTAAGTCCTTAACTTTGTAATTTTGACACGATTTGGTCCTCCATCTAGTTGACCGTTTGTTGACCGTGATCGACGATCTCCAGAAGAACCTTCAGCTCTCGTCGGAGCACGTAGAGACCTCCAGGATGACGTTGCACCGGTTCGGAAACACGTCGTCTTATTCGCTCTGGTACGAACGCAACTACATTCAATCCAAAGGGACGATGAAGAAATGCGACCGGATTTTGGTAGATACTTTCGGCAGTGGATTCGAATGTAACAGTGCAGTCTGGAAATGCAACTTCACCGACGATGGACCATGAAATTACATATATATCCTCAAAAATCACAGTCAACAAACGGTCAAATAGACAGAGGACCAAATTGTATTAAAATTACAAAGTTTTAATTGATTGAAATTGAAAGTCGAGGACCAAATTGTGAATTTAACTATAGTCGAGGGACCATTTTAGGTATTTACTCTTTAATTTTTTTAGTAAGATTTTTAACCTATAGTAATGTCTAATAGGAGCGTTATAAATAAATATATGTCAACATTAGTAGAGAAATTATATTATAATAACAATACATGCATCTTCATCCTTTATAGTCTTGAAATTATACTAAAACTTTATATATTATGTATATACATATTGGATTCGCATCTCTTGTCTTCTATATATTACTATATTTATTTGTTCACATATATTACTATATTTATTTGTTCACGCAAAGAATCATCTTATCCACTGTAGGTTTAACAAAACAAGATCCTTTTCGTCATAGGTTAAACTGTCAATATAAATCTTAAGTCATCTTTATTTTTTGGGAAAAGGTACAAATAGGCCATTGAACTATTTGGGGGTTAGCAATTAAGCCACCGAACTCAAATAAGCTTCAAATTGATCTATGAACCTGCAAAAAAAGTGCAATTAACATTTTTAACAGGTTAACAACAAGTTACTGCTGACTAGGATGCCATTTGTAATTTTTATTTTTTATTTTATTATTTTTATTATCCTAATCAGCATTTGACACCAAAAAAAAAAAAAAAAAAACTTAAGCATATTTCTTCTCTTCTTCGTTGCTCCGAATCGGCTCCGATCTCTCCTCTTCTCTTCTTCGTTGCTTTGTCGCGAACATCAAATCCTCTTCTCTTCTTCGTTGCTTCGAATCGGCTCCAATCTCTCCTCTTCTCTTCTTCGTTGCTTTGTTGCGAACATCGAATCGGCTCCAATCTCTCCGGCTCAACTTTACTTTTCTCCGGAAAACTCTACAATAAATTGGTAATTTCTTCTCTATTTTGCTGTTTTTCTATCTTTTGCTGTTGTTTGCGTAATTTCTTAAATATTGAAATTTCAATGTATTTTTTCTAATTCAAAAATGTCGCAAACAATCGAAAAAGAGAGAAAACAAAAAATGTCGCAAACAATCGCTAAAGAGATAAAGCGAAAGGGTCAAATGTTTTTTTTTTTTTTTTTTTTTTTTTTTTTTTTTTTTGGTGTCAAATGCTGATTAGGATAATAAAAATAATAAAATAAAAAATAAAATTACACATGGCATCCTAGTCAGCAGTAACTTGTTGTTAACCTGTTAAAAATGTTAATTGCACTTTTTTTGCAGGTTCATGGATCAATTTGGAGCTTATTTGAGTTCGATGGCTTAATTGCTAACCCCCAAATAGTTCAATGGCCTATTTGTACCTTTTCCCTTATTTTTTAGAAATAAAATTTATTATTTTTCCCTTTTATTTAATGTTTATACAAATAAAATAAAATTAATGTAAAAATATATTACTAAAATATAAGAGGAAAATATGCTCCTACGTCAACGGTTAAAGTTGCTTAAAAAATAGAAAAAAGTTAATAAGTCAATTTTACAAACTTAAAAGTTTACAATAATTATAAAATCAATCCCGTACTCTTTTACTAAAATCGTCAACCATTAATGAACTTAAATGCACAGAGATCAATCTTCAGGAAGATCATATTCTCATTTGATCCTGCCTAAGAAGCAACAACGGCAAATATACTACTTAAAATAATTAACAGTTAGAAAAACTACAAACCACTTAACTCAAATCAAAAGTAGACTTAAAAGGCTTTTCCCTCCTCCTTCATCCGGGCTTGGGAGCGGCTGCTTTCACAGGCGGAGTTAAAAAGCTAACCAAAATTAACAATAAATGGAACTATCTAGACAAGATTGCTAACTACTGCATACAAACACACAGAAGATGAAGCAGCACTCAAAAGGAAGGAGCATGCATCTCTCTGGGTGGGTGATTAAAGATTACTAGCACAGAAGGTGGAGACTATTAGCAAAGCATAGAGAGTGAAGACCTTAACAACTCTACAGAGGGAAAAGAAACATTATATTTCTTCAAAATCAATGATTAATACCACCTATCTCAGAATTCTCTATTAACCCCATCAAATTTAATTACAAACACTAGGCCACCTTTTGCTGTTTCTGATTCTTTTACACCATGCTCAACAACCATAAAACCTAAATCAAAAAACAAGACTCACCTACATCTTATTGATCTTGAGCAAAAGCCATCCAAGATGAAGTTTAAAATTCAACAGCATGTATTGGAGTGATAATTGCACCTCTGATCTAAAACATTCCATTAGCATAATTGTCATAACCATTCCAGCACTCTGAAATGATGTATATGAAAAGTCTACAGCAATGTCTTCAAGCCAAAAAAACATAACCTGTTCCAAAGTAAATTATCCCGAAAAGTAGCATAAAATAAGTAAACCAGCAGAATAATCCAACTTGTACTCACTTTCTTCAAGAAGACGAAGAACACACTAGAAAAAATTGTTCATTGTTCATAACTAAAAGTCCACCCCTTGTGTTCTGTCATCATACATTGAATCACAGCTTCCACTTAACTGATTATACATCACTGTCTAGTTTGATTGAATATCTTTCTTTGTGACCAAGGCAACAAGAGAAAAAGTTTTGTTGAACAATATTGGATAGTTTTTCTTCACTGAAATTCAAAGTGTTCACTTTATCCTCCCCAGGTATCCAATGATCAACAGCTTCGGCAAACAGGACCCAGAACAATAGATACGTGGCATGAAAGGTCATAAAGGTTGAATGACAAACACAAAAATATATTTCCACTGACACCTACACCAGCTGTCTTCATCAATCCCATACTTGGATACACCTCACAACAAAATGCAAACTATAATCTTACTGGACATCACCCATAAACTAAATTAAGACAGAGAATCAGATGGGCTATTATAAAACTGTGCTTAAATGAAAGAATGCAGTAGAATATGCGATACATAAAAATAAGAGAGTAAAGTGACACAAAATTATAAAGACAGGCAGCTGATGGACATTCACCATGTATTCTGTAACACTATGCAACACAAAACTAGACACCATAGTAATAAAAAGGTTTAATGCCTTTCTTATCTATCCGTCCTTCCAAATGAGAACCATGATCTTGAAATCAGCACATTTTGCTCTGACATGAGCAACAAAAACAACCTATCTCATAAAGAAATCACCATACCAGCAGAGAAATCATATTAACAGCCTTATTTAAGATTGCTCCCATCCACCATAGCTGAAGGCAAAAAAGTGACACACCCTTCAAGATGTCCATTCAGTCGTTCACCAATCCATATGCTGAATCACAAGTTCCAGATAAATTGATATGCACACAAGGACACCATAGTTCATCATACGCACTGACAGATTTGACTGACCACAGGAAAAATGCAAAAGGCACTGGTTGAACTATGATTGATGAATAAAATCTCTAAAATAAAGGAAGGATCCATATACAGCATTACTTATCATAAAAGATACTAGCTGTTAGTTGTCCTTGGGGAGGCTCAGTAATCAGGTTGAATGAAAACTAGCAATGAAATTCAGGAAACCACAGCCTCCACCAACCAAATTGCACACTATGAAATGTATATCATCCTATCAGTTAGGAGCATATGGACCAAAGAAAACAAAAATGTGGAAGAATCAAAAGATTAGATAAGTGTTTTGAAAGATATAAGAGAGGTCAAGTCACAACTTCCCACAGCCAAAGAGAGGAATGATTGAACCATACAGAGTATAAAAGAATCAATGTGAAACAATGGGCAATGATATAAAAGATCAATTAGAAACAATGGATGGTGGTATAAAAGGATGAATTAGAGACATCAAAACCATGATATCACACATAACTATGTATGAAACAGTTCTCTCAACAGAATCAACTAGCTTTTCTTGCTCTGTAACCATAGAAAAAACAAATGACAGCTTCCCTGGCTGCACCCTTCCAATGTTATATCCCATGCATGCAAAAACTGGAATGGCACCTAAAAAGAAAATTCCAAAACCTGTTTGCTTAGATAGGATCAATAGATCAAACTAAAGACAAAAGCCACAAAATTAAATTCGAGTCCTCCCCCCAATAATCCCCTTCTTAAATTAAATCAACTAGCCAATAATCCAAATTCCTTACAAGAACTCACTCTTCAATCCAATAACTCCATAGCAATCAACATCTACAGAAAGTTTAAACCAAAATCAACAGTAAACTTCTTGATCACCCCAAAACAAAGAAAAGAAAAAAGAAGTTAGATTCTCTGGCCAATATTATTAAGGGATCCAATCCACATAGATGGCGTAATATCTAATCTTGAAGATCATCAGATTGTTGGCATAGCTATGGACCTAGCATCAACAAAGTCAAGAACCACTTAGTTTATATGCATCAGGCAGTAGATGGATGAGAGTGATTAGATTTTTTAATAACACCAAACCGAAAACTTCTCAAGGAACAGATCCAGCCAATAATGCAAATCCATTACAATAACTCACTTCTGGACCCAATAACTCCACAGCAATCAACATCTACAGAAAATTTATAAACCAGAATTCAACAGTAATCATCTTGATCACCCCAAAACAAAGGAAAGAAAGAAAAGGTTAGATGTAGCTGCCCAGAATAAATAAGGGATACAATTCGATTAGATTGCAATGTAGATAGCATCTAATCATGAAGATCGTCACTGTTGGCATAGATATGGACCTAGCATCAACAAAATCCAAAGAAACACTTAGTTTGTATGCATCAACACCATAACACATCAATAGATGAATAAGAACAAAGACGTTTGATAAGAGATAATAACACCAAACCGAACACGTCTCAAGGACTGGATCAAGCCAATAATCTACATCCGTTATAAGACTCACTCCTCAACCCAATAACTCCATAGCAATCAACATCTACAGAAAATTTATAAACCTCAACAATGATTATCTTGATCACCACAAAACCAAGAAAAGTAAAAAAAAAAAAAAAAAAAAAAAAAAGGTTAGATGTAGCTGGCCAGTATAAATAATGGATCCGATCCAATTATATGGCGATCTAGATTGTATATGATCTTGAAGATCACCAGACTATTATGGACCTAGCATCAACAAAACCGAGAGAACTATGCATCAGCACCATAACACATCAATAGATGGAGAGAACAAAGATGGTTGATGAGAGATTCTAATAACAGCAAACCGAACACGTCTCAGGACTGGATCTAGCCAATAATCTACATCCGTTACAAGAACCCACTCCTCAACCCAATAACTCCATAGCAATCAACATCTACTGAAAGTCAGAAAATTTATAAACCTCAACAGTAATCATCTTGGTCACACCCAAACAAATGAAAGAAAAGAGAAAGGAAAAAGAAATGTAGCTGGCCATTATAAATAAGGGATCCTATCCAATTAGATGGCAATCTAGATAGTATCTAATCTTGAAGATCGTGGCAAAGATCCAGAGAACCACTTAGTTTGTATGCATCAGCGCCATAATACATCAATAGATGAATAAGAACAAAGATGTTTGATAAGATATAATAACACCAAACCGAACACATCTCAAGGACTGGATCAAGCAATAACACCAAACCGAACACGTCTCAAGGACTGGATCAAGCAAATAATCCACATTCGTTACAAGAACTCACTCCTCAACCCAATAACTCCATAGCAATCAACATCTATAGAAAATTTATAAACCTCAACAATAATCATCTTGATCACACCAAAACAAAGGAAAGAAAAGTGAAAGGAAAAAGAAAGGTGAGATGTAGCTGGCCATTATAAATAAGGTATCCGATGCAATTAGATAGCGGTCTAGACAGTATCTAATCTTGAAGATCATCAGACTGTTGGCATAGCTATGGACCTAGCATCAACAAAACCGAGAGAACCACTTAGTTTATATGCATCAGTGCCATAACACATCAATAGATGGATGAGAACAAAGATGTTTGATGAGAGATTTTAATAACACCAGAACGAACATCTCAAAGACTGGATCTAGCCAGTAATCCACATCCGTTACAAGAACTCACTCCTAAACCCAATAACCCCATATCAATCAACATCTACAGAAAATTTATAAACCTCAATAGTAATCATCTTGATCACACCAAAACAAAGGAAAGAAAAGAGAAAGGAAAAAGAAATGTTAGATGTAGCTGGCCATTATAAATAAGGTATCCGATCCAATTAGATAGCAATCTAGATAGTATCTAATCTTGAAGATCATGGCATAGATATGGACCTAGCATCAACAAAATCCAGAGAACCACTTAGTTTATATGCATCCGCGCCATAACAACACATCAACAGATGAACAAGAAAAAGATGTTCGATAAGAGATAATAGCACCAAACCGAACACGTTTCAAAGACTGGATCTAGCCAATAATCCACATCCATTACAAGAACTCACTCCTCAACCCAATAACTCCATAGCAGTCAGCATCTACAAAAAATTTATAAACCTCAACAGTAATCATCTTGATCACCCCAAAACAAAGGAAAGAAAAAAGAAATGTTAGATGTAGCTGGCCATTATAAATAAGGTATCCGATCCAATTAGATGGCAATCTAGATAGTATCTAATCTTGAAGATCATGGCATAAATATGGCAATCTAGATAGTATCTAATCTTGAAGATCATGGCATAGATATGTACCTAGCATCAACAAAATCCAGAGAACCACTTAGTTTGTATGCATCAGCGCCATAACACATCAACAGATGAATAAGAAGAAAGATGTTTGATAACACCAAACCGAACATCTCAAGGACTGTATCTAGCCAACAATCCACATCCGTTACAAGAACTCACTCCTCAACCCAATAACTCCATAGCATTCAACATCTACAGAAATTTTATAAACCTCAACAGTAATCATCTTGATCACCCCAAAACAAAGGTAAGAAAAGAGAAGAAAAAAAAATGGTTAGATGTAGCTGGCCAGTATAAATAAGGGATCCGATCCAATTAGACTGTTGGCATAGCTATGGACCTAGCATCAACAAAACCGAGAGAACCACTTAGTTCATATGCATCAACGCCATAACACATCAATAATCCGACACCGGTCACCGGAACTCACCGTTCAACCAGATAACTCCATACCAATCAATATCTACAGAATTCACCCGGTAATTATCTTGATCGCCCAAAAACAGAGAAGAGAAAAGACAAACTAAGTCGCACGTATCTTAAGATGTCGCCGGAATATTAAGGAATCCTATTAAATTAGATCGTGATGGAGATAGTATCAAGTTAGAGAGACCCATTAATATTCAGAATCCAAATAACAACCAATAAACGCAAATACTAAATCTCCAGAATATTAAATCGAAGCACAGTATAAAACAAACTGATGGCGTGTTGAGACAAATACAACCAAAGCCAACCAAAGCTATCGCCAAAGCGAACCCAGAGCCTTGTAGCAAGAACCCTAAATCCAAAGATAAAAGGGATGAAATCACGAATAGAGGAAGAGAGATTAGAAAAAGATTTGGGAGGGAGGGAGAGAGGTATGATGGGACTGTATTTATAGAGTTGATGGTGGCGGTTAGGAATACACGTTTATTGGACTATTGGCCACGACGGAAATACTATTCATGGTTCGTATTGAAGTAAGAATCATTAATCATTAAGTAATATAAATATATGATATTATAAGTAATGTTTTGAATAATTATTTATGGTTAATGATTAGGTTTATTAATTGTTGCAATAATTAATAAGTAAAAAGAATAAAAATTTATAAAAATAATAATATCTACATCTACATCTGCCTTCAAAAAAAAAAAAAATCTACATTTACCAATCTAATAAAAGCCAATAAAGTTATGTCCTTAATCGAGAACAAAACATATGTTGGTGTAATTATTTGTTCAATTGAATTGTTCAAATTATTTTAATTTTAATATTTTTTATGATTTTTCTTATTTACTCTTTATTATATTATATTTTCTTCCTTTAAATAACCCTGCATTCCGACAGGGCCGGCCCTGAGGCAAGGGCAGGCTGGGCCCTTGTCCAGGACCCATGCTTGGGGGAGGGCCCCATCCTATCTCTTATACATAGTATATAACTATATATGCATTGAGTATAAGTAATTTATAACATATGTTTTATAATAAGGTGAATTAGCTTCGTTAGTAAGATATTTGAATTTTAACTTCATTTAATCAAAGGCCGGTGATCAAATCCTTCCCTTCACATTTTAGAATTCCTCAACTTTACTTCAATTCTTTGCTTATATTTTAATGTCTCGTTTAAAAAAATTATTTTTATTGATTTTTTGTGTTTAAATATATAAATTTTCATAAACATATTCTGAAAAAAATTTATATTAAATTTTTAATGTAGTTTCTAAATTTATAAATTTTTATATACTTATACTAAACATATTATTAAATATTGAATTAAAAAAAAAAAAAAAACTTCAATCAACTGATGTTAACCAAACAAGATACATAAAAATAGGACGGAGGGGGTTCTATGATATATTTTGAGATTGAATTATGAAAAAAAAAATTAAAAGATAATTTACTCCGTACCTTTTTATTATGAATATCTAATCAAATGTAATATAGAAGTTTCTATCATGTGTCATTATATTCACATTATTCTAAAAAAGTTTGAAATTTATCTAGTTAAAAGAAAAAGTATTTATAAAAATCATATAAATATAGAAGATGTGTGATTTATAATATGCTTTATATTCAAACTATTTTATCTAGATAATTATGTTTCATATATTTTTGAAATTTTTTTATTGCGTTTTGAAATATTTTAATTTCTTGCTCCTAGTCAAAAAACAGATTTTTAGCTTCACATATGTTTGTTGTTTTATAAATTTTTAATAATAATTAATTTATTATTTATTATAATAACAATGTTATTGTTTATAAATTGACTCGATTTTAAATTATTTATTCATTTTTATAAACTATAATAATTATTTATTTATGAAGGCACTTATAGCATTAAGGAAAGCACTTGGAATTTTTTTCATGATTATTATTGTCGTGTAAAATTGTTAAAAACTTGTTAATCTTATTTAAAGTTACTAGTATTTGCCCCCGTGCGATGCACGGAATGGATTTGTTGTAATATATTAAAAATATTTGGATTGATATATAATTATTTAAATTAAAACACCAAATATTATATAGTGCAATTGAATAATTGAGTTGGGTCGATTATGTTTTCTGATGCTATCTATGCTTGAATTTGAACAAATAATTATTCAATTAATAGCCAACGTGTAGATGTACGCATCCGGTGCTGAAACTTTAGAGATTTTATATAGCAGTGTTTATGATTTGTATTAATTAGCCTAATTAGCTCTTTGTTTAGCTTGCAACTCAGTTATATAAATTATTTGTATAGAATATACAACATACAACATACAACATAAATATTAATATTAATTGATATTTAATGTAATATCACAAAAATAAAGTGATGTTTAAATAATATATAAATGCAATATGTACCTTAGAGTCATGAAATAAGCACTCTAGAGTTTGGTGGTTGACGCCTTGACGACTGTGCGTTGATATTCTCTGGACAAATAACAACGCGTCAACTGAAGGCCTATAGAGTTTTTCCTTGTCTTGGAAGATAGATCAAAGGCAGTGACAAAATTTGACTTCATTACTAAACAATAAAGAGAAAGTTGAGAAATATAAGAGAAGAATTAAAAGTATATAATGGTAGAAAATAAATGAGTTCGTGACCCTTTTATATTCAGGCAATACATATCAATATCAATTTGTCTATACTATAATTATTAAATATTAATTATTACTATTTATTAATATAATTAATAATTAATTACTTATTATTTAATTCATATAATTATCATAATATAATTGTCGATTATATTTACAGTGAAATATTAATATATATTCATTTCGTTTTCTAATATTTCTTTTCCTTTTGAATATGTTCATTTCTTTTTTCCTTCATACAAAGAATAAATATTGATTGCCATATTTTTTTTCCTTTACAATTTTTTCCTAATATTTTATTTGTTGGTTACTAATTTTTTGGTAGGAAAAATTGTGTTATATTTCCAGTAAAATATTAATATATTCATTTCGTTTTTCCTAGTATTTTATTTCCCTTTTCCTTCATAAAAAGAATTGAAATTGATTTTCATTCCTTTTTTCCTTCATAATTTTTTCTTAAGTGGTGGTTACTAATAACATATTCCCGTGTGTAATATTTATTTATTTTTTCGTTCA